CGTGCTCCTCCTCCCCGTGCTGCCCCTCCCCGTGCTGCTCCTCTCCGTGCTCCTCCTCCCCGTGCTGCTCCTCTCCGTGCTCCTCGTCCCCGTGCTGCCCCTCCCCGTGCTGCTCCTCCCCATGCCCCTCCCCGTGCTCCTCCTTGTGCTCCTCCTCCCCGTGCTGCCCCTCCCCATGCTGCCCCTCCCCGTGCTGCCCCTCCCTGTGCTGCTCCGCCCCGTGCTGCCCCGCCCTGGAGCCACCTGGGAAGAGGTGTCAACAGCCCCACGGCACAGTGGCGTCCGCTGCGCAGTGACGGCCGAGCTCCCTGCTGCCCCACTGCCCTGCCTGCCTGGCCTCACCTCTGCTCGGCAGCCTCTAGCCGCCCGAGGGCTTCCTCCAGGTCGACGCTGTGCTTCTGCTCTGACCTCCGCAGCCGAGCCTCGGTGGCCTCCAGCCGGGCCTGCGGCTGGAGAGGGGCATTAACCCACCTGGCTGGACACTTCCAAGCCCAGCGGGCTGGGCAGCTTTGGCACAAAACCTTCCCAGGGACGGGTGAGAGGGCTCCCCTTGGGTCCCTAGTTGGGGCGGGGCCAGGCTGGGATAAGGGCTGGGGTCGAGCTGGGGTCAAGCTGGGTCTGCGGGCAGCCGTCCGTGCCATGGTCCTGTGCCATGTACCCACGGCTGGCGGAGTGGGGGTCCAGGCTCTGGTCCGGCCACATAAGGGGCAGGACGGCCGAGATGCAGAGCAGGCCTGGGGTCACCCCCATGGGAGTGAGTGAGCTTAGGGTCCCGCCCCTGCAGCTGCCCTCCTGCCTGTGCTCGACCCTCCGTCTGCTCCCAGCCCCTCATCCAGCGGGTGGGTGGGTACCACACCCCCAGTAAGTGCGCCTGGCAGGGAGGGGAGCCCCCCAAATTGGGCCAGGTGGACCCCGAGCCTGCTGGAGTCTGAGCAGACGGGGACCCGGGGCTCTGAGGGGAAAAGGCAGTGCTGGGGGCCCCGACCCAAGGAGGCCGGCTGGTGGGGGGCTGAGGCAGGTAGGTCAGGAGAGCTGAAGGGCACCCTTGCGGCACGACATGGGGCCTGAGTACAGGGAGGTGAGTGGCCCCCGCAGCTACCAGTGGGATTGGAGAGGAGGGCCCGGGGGTCCAGCCGAGCCCAGGGGCCTGGGCGGGGGCTGGGAGTCTAGCCGGGATGGAGGTGCCCACGGAACCGTCATGCGGCCCCTGCTACCACCATCCGCCCGCCCATCTGCCTGGGGGAACCTGGGGAGGCTGGGCCCCTCTGCGGCCCTCACAAGGGCTGCTGACCCGCCTGCCAGAGCTGGCACAGGCCCGTGAGTTCAGAGCTCACTGACTCACGAGGTTTCCTAATCGGCCGCGGGATTTCTGCGGCTTCTATTCCCATAGGGCCTCTAGTTCCCAACATCTCCCCACCCTGTGCTGGGAAGATCCCCGCCCCGCCTGCGCAGGGCCCAGGGTGGGCGGGAGACGGTGTCCCCTCCGGGGATGAGGAGGGCCTTCCCAGTCCTGCCGGGGGTGGGGCTGGCGATGAGAACAGGTGTGAGTTCGGGGTGGGGGCAGGGAGCCCCTCCCTCTGTGGGGCTGGTGACGCCGCCTGTCCCAGGAAGCCCTCGGAACCCTCGAGGAGACGAGGCTGGGCGTTCGGCACTGGTCACTGGTCATGCCGGAGAAAGACCTGAGTCAGGTCTCACCCAGCAATGGCAGCGTGGCCCTGGATAACTCGGACTAGCTCTGAGCCTCAGTTTTCTCATCTGGAAAGTGGAGTCATCTGCCCTGCCACGTAGACCAGGGGGACTCTGCAGACACAGGGGCTCCCAGTGTGCCACACTGTGGGCCGGGCACCCCAGCCCAGTCCTGCCTCAGAGGCCATCATGTCTTAGAGTGGCAGACATGGGACAGAGGCTCTGGCCTAGCAAGTTTCGTCACCTTTCTGCCTCGGTTTCCCCATCTGTCCACCAGGAGGCCCTCCCAGCCCCACTGGTTGTGACCAAATGGCCTGTTGCCACAGCCAGTCACCCTGGAGGGCACCGCGCTGCCCAGGGCACTGAGGACAGAGGCCCAGGGGCTCCGTCCGCCCTCGGCCGTCGGGGGTGGGGGCTGGGGGCGGGGCCAGTCCTCGGCAGCTGCCAGGCGGTTCCTTTTGCTCCCGCTCCTCCCCTGGGCAGTAGCTGCCACGTGCCCACGCTGGGCTGGAGGCCAGGGCCAGGGGTCAGGAATGCCCCAGCCGCCCCCAGGGCTTCTGGCAGGTGGGGCACAAGTCAGTGCTTAAGCTGGGGGGGGAGTCCTGGGGGACCCCGGGGCCGGGGAGCCCCGGGCACCTGTCCCACTCTCACCGGTCCCCTCCAGCCTCAGCTTCTCTAGCCACCGCCCAGGGTCCAGCCGTGCCATGGCTGACCACTGTCATTCCACGTCCTGAGACGCGCTGACGGATCCACCGGTCACCCCGGGCCCGGCTGCCACCCTCTGGCTGCCACGCGTCCCTACGCACGCTCACCTGCTCGCTGACTGCGTGGTACCTGCCGGCCGGCTCGTCCCGCTCGGCCCCCGCCTGGGCCAGCAGCTCCTCCAGCCGGGACAGCTCCTCCTGCACGTGGGCCGAGGCGGCTGGCGGCTCCTGCAGCGCTGCAGGCGCAGCAGCAGGTCAGCCTGTGGCCAGGCCAGCCCCCAGCCTGGCTCCCTGTCCCGCCGCCGGTCTGCCGATCTGCCGGGACTGACCCGGGGGACCCCGATCTGGGGCCGCACCTCGGCCGCGGGCCTCCCTTCCTCTCCTGCCGTGGACATCACGTTTCACCCCGGTACAGACCCCTGCCCAGGGCGAGCCCCAACCCAGTTACAGCGTCCCCCTGGACGCTGGGGATCCCACACCCCCGTCAGGCAGTGAGAACTGCTGACTCAGGGTAACCAGATCTCACCCCCAAGTAGTAAGTTGCTGTTCTAACCACACAGTGGGCTTTCTTTTTCCTTAACACACAGTGAGGTCCCCAGTTCCTCTAGGAGGCTGGAGAGCCCCTTATTTCAGAAAGGGGTCTCGGGACCCCCGCACGAGGGGGTCGGGGCACACTCTGGGCCAGGCTGCCCTACTGGCTGGGTGGCCTCGGTGCAGGGACCCAGCTGCGCACGCAGCCGTGACAGACAGCGAGAGGCACCGCGAGGGGGCCCGGGGGCTGGGGGAGCAGAGCTCTTGGGGGGGGCTGCTTAGCATCCACGCCTCCTGAGTGTCACCCTTAGGATTTCATCATCTAATGAAAAATGAGCATAATTAAATCAGGACTGGTGGGCACAGATGGTGACAAACCAACGCAGGGCTCGGTGGGCACAGATGGTGGCAACCCAACGCAGGGCTAGGTGGGCACAGATGTGACAACCCAACGCAGGGCTCGGTGGGCACAGATGGTGACAACCCAACGCAGGGCTAGGTGGGCACAGATGTGGCAACCCAACGCAGGGCTCGGTGGGCACAGATGGTGACAACCCAACGCAGGGCTAGGTGGGCACAGATGGTGACAAACCAACGCAGGGCTCGGTGGGCGTGGTCCCTGCGGCCTGGTGGTGAGCGCGCCGTGGGGATGGGCTTCTGACCCCCGGGGACGATGCCGTGGGAAGGTGTGGTTCTCGCCCTAACACAGGGGAGGATGATGGGCCGGGAGGGGCCGGCCCGGTCAGGGGACAGTGAGGGGCTTGGCTCCCTGAAGCTGGACTCTGACTGACGGCTCTGCAGCCCCCCTGGTGGCCCCCCTCACCTTGGGGCAGCTCCTCGCCCAGGCTGCCAGCCACAATCTCACGGATGCGGGCAGGCACGGGGATGGGTGAGGCCCGCCAGCCTCCCCCATGCACGGTCAGCGCCCGGTCTTCTCTGCTGGCCATGGGGCTCAGGACGGTGTCCTCCAGCCTCTGAAAAACACCGGCTCAGAGATGCCTGGGGCTGGCAGGTCCCTGGACAGCTGCCAGAGCCCCACGTGAACCCACTGGAGTTAGTGGGCGCTGCCACGGGGCTCCCATATGGTGGCAAAGTGCGCTGGAGAGGACTGGGTGAGGTCACCAAGGCCCGTGCCTTGGTTTCCCCACCTTTCAAGGTGGGAGGGCACCCTGCCCATCCTGGCGCTGCTCTGAGCACAGGTGAGGAAAGAAGAGCTGGTCCGGAGAGCTCCGAGCCTAGGGCACCACCTCGTCCCACCCTTCAGCGCTGCTCCGCCTCTGCGGGGGCTGCACTGACCGTCGTGGTGGACCTCTCCGGGGACGCTGGGAGGCAGGCTCCTGCCTCTGGCCCTCCTGGAGCAGGCAGCCTCCCAGTTCTCACAGTGGGGTTGGCAGGGAGGGGTTTGAACCCCACCCAGCAGGCCCAGAGCCCCACGGCAGGAGGGGCTGACAACAGCAGAGGGACAACTGGTAGAAGGTCCACCCACACACCCCCCTTTAGGACAAGGCCAGCCATGTGGGGCTTCCCCGTCCACTGGGAGGGGCACGCGTGGGCCCTGGGCCGGGGCAGGGTGGGAGCCGAGGGAGGGACAGTGGGTGGATCGTGGGGACGGCCCTCCTTCCTAGCCGCCTAGAACAGCTGACCATCTGTGGCAGAGGTCCGAATAGCCCCGGACGCGGGTAGGAGACCCTGGGTCTTGGGTACCCAGAGACTGGTGTTGGGGTCTTGGGCTCCAGTTGGCACTTTGCCTCGGCCCTGGGCATTTTTGGCTCCACGACGATGGCATCGCCGGGGGAGGGCCTGGGCTGCCCTCCAGAGCCCAGGGCCGGGCGGGGCCTTTGTCGCCAGATCTGTCGTGGTGCTGACCGTGGGGGGAACTCGTGAACGCTGCAGGCCGAGGCAGCCACTTCTAAACCAGCATGAACATCTGGACATGAGAGGGCAGCGAGGCAGGATGGGCCTGCACTCAGGACAGTCCGTAGCTGCCCACCGGCCCTGCTGCCTTTGCGATATGAGCTGTCAGGCAGTGAGTGAAATAGCAGAGGGTAACCAGACGCTTCCCAGGGGGTCCTGGAGATGGATGTCCCCTCCAGTGACTCTCTAGGGCGACAAACCAGGGTCCTCCCATCACCCCCGAAGGTCCCAGACTTCTCAAACTTATCACCATGTGCCCAGCCCCTCCCCACCCCTGGCTTCCCAAGACCCCCCACCCCGAGACTCCCCAGATCTCCCTCCCATCCCAGGGCCCTGGTGAGTGACCACCGCACAGCCTCCTACCTGCCTGTCCTCCTCTGATCCCCCCAGCTCTCCCTGAAGACCCTCTCGAGGCCTAGACCCCTCCACCTGGCTCTGACCCTCAGGCCTGGGCCGGTAGGGATGGAGGGCTTCCTGGGTGCAGCCCTGCTCCCCCCACCCCACTGCCCTGGTACAATCTCAGCCCGTCCCCTCCTCCTGAGACCCCAGCCTGGTCTCTTCCGCTCACGTCTGCCTGGACACGAGGCCTGCCCCTCCGTCAGCACCAGAGTGGCCAGGGCCACCCCGAGACCCGGGCTCTTGCATGACACCTGGTGAAGCCACGTTCCCATCCCAACAGGAGCTCGGTGCTGGGCAGACACTGAGCAAACTCGCGGGACTGAATTCCACCGCCCACCACGGGGAGTGAGAACCCTGGCTCTGGTTCACCTGGACCCCAGTCCTCCTTCACCTGCGTGTAGGAATTTGAGTCCCCTGGGAGGTCTTGGGAGGCACCTTGACTACACTCCCCATCGCCGACCCCCCTTCAGCATGACTTCGGGTGAGCAGCCTCCCTTGAGGGGAGGGGACGAGGTACCTGCTGGCCCCTTTGGGCAGAGCCCGGAAGGGGGCGCCGAGACCACCAAGGCCGCAGGCAGGGGCTCAGCCATCGTCCGCCCTGAACCCCCTTTGCACTCAGGGAAACCGAGGCCCAAGGGGGAGGCGAGAGCCACCTGAGGCCCGCGGGACTGTCGAGTCCAGGAAGGCCCCTGCCCCTCCGCTCTCCACACCACCCTCCCCGCCCCAGCGTCCGCGGCGCCACCCGCTAACGGGAAGGCAGCAGCGGCATAAACTTGACTCATTCCTAACATTTACGGAGGGTCAGTTATTAGCCGAGATGTCCCAAGAGGAGCTGGGCGCGTAATGGGTTCCAGCTGCGGCCGGGTGCCTGCGATGGGCCGTGGCCCAGCTGGAGCGGAGGGAGGCAGCGGGGTCGGCACGGTGGGGGTGCGCGGAGGCCTTGGGGCTGCCCCCTCCCACCCCGCCCCACCTCCTGCCCCCCACTCCCCCCAGTAATGGGGGCAGGGAGGGGCCTTCACCCAAGGCAGGTCACTGGGCCTGCAGCAACCTCTGGCCTTGGGGCTTGGTTCCCCCTGCGGCCGCCCGGGACCCCGTGATGCCACCTGCAGCCCTGTGGGCCAGGGGTGGCTCTGGGTCAGCTTTGGGGGGGTGTGCTGTCTGCCTGTGACCGGGCAGTGCACTGGGAGACTTCTAGAAGCCCCCTCCCCCCCTCGCAGTCTCAGCTGGTCAGAGGGGACACCAGAGCTGGGCATCAGCTCCCCAAAAGACCTCAGACTCACAGTTGAGCCTGACCATGTCCCCTCCTCCTTTCTGTCCCCAGCGTCCTCCTCCCCGTCAGCTCAACCAGCTTCTAAGGACCTCAGGGAGGTCACAGCCCCTGCGTGACACCCCCAGTGAGCCCTAGAGGGGGGCCTGTGTGTGCGGCCCAGTGGGGCGGCCATCCCCTCCTTCCTCGCCGCCGCCCTCGCCGTGTGGCCCTGTGGATGGGGAGGGTCTCCGCTCCGAGGACCCTGGGCTCCCCTCTGGGAGAGGTGGGCTGGGGCCCCTGCTCTGCCACTGCCGGTGCACTGCCTGACCTCAGGCATGCCACCTGCTGTCCCGAGCCGTGTGTTCTCATCTTTGAAAATGGGGCGTCCCAGGGACCCGGGGGCTGCGGCTCTGGGGACCCCGCCCTAATCCCACAGGTGAGGACATGAGGCGGCTGGGGAGGGCGGGTGGAGCTGTAAGACAGAAACGCAACCCACACGGAACAATCTCACTCTCTCCCTCACTGGTGACCAGCATCGGACCCCCGAGTGGCCCCTCTGAATCCGCAGGCTGCCCAGGCACAGATCCCCAGGGAGAGGAGCCCAGCGACTTCTGGAAGGAAGATGAGGGTGCCCCATACCCAGAGCCCAGTGAGGGAGACCCCTGGGTGGCCCGAGTGGGTCCAGATGAGCCCCGTGGCAAGGCAGGGAGGGGCGCCAGAAGCCCCGTTGAAAGTCACCCTGCGAGAGCGGGTGTCCAGCGGGGGACCTCAACTCAGCCAGCAGCGTGAGCGAGTCAGAATCCTGGGCCCCTCGGCAGAGTCGGGGGGTGGGGGGGCCCCCGGCCAGCAGCCTGGGTCTGGGGTGGCGGAGCTCCAACAGTGCCACCGTGTGGCCACAAGGGGCGCTGCAGGAGCTGTGACTGCCCGTCGCTCGAGGAGGGAGGCTGGGGCTCCTGGGGGCAGCGGGAAGGCAGAGGCTCCCTTGCTCATGGAGATGTGAGAAGGGCGTCACCTCTCAAGGTCTCCCAGCACCCGTTTTATATCTGTCATCTCGGCTGGAAGGGAGGCTTAGGGTCTTGCACTCACGGGCGGCAGTGTTAGGCCTGGGCCCCTGCCCGTGGGCCCCCAGCACCTTCCCAGTGGCCCGAGATCAGGACTCCGCAGGCACGCTGGCCTTGGGTCCCCTCCCCAAAGGCAGAGGAATGGGGGTCGGCCCAAGCCTGGCTTCCTCCTCCGCCTCTGCCCCTCAGACCCTCCCCAGCACCCCCACAGGGCCCCAGGCACCCCAGGGCCAGGCTTTGGCCCTCGCCAGGCGCGGGCCCAGCTTGAAGAACACATCTGAGGACAGGGCCTCCAGCCAAGTCCAGCCACCGGACGTCTGCTTGCCATCCTTCCGTGGCTTGGCCGGCTGCAGAGAGGGCCCTGGGCCTGGGTGGCAGCCTGCCAGGCTCCATTTCCTTAGGAAAAAGAGCTTCTCTGTGCCTGGGGTAACCCCTGGCCCCCACCATGCTGTATCTCAGCACCGCGCAGTTTCAGATCTCTGTGCGTCCGTTGAGCCCTCTGGGGCCCTGGGCATCACCCCAGGAGCCGGGTCAGGCTTCTGTGGGTGGTAGTTTGGGCCTCAACTAACAATAAGGGGGCAATCTGGGCCAGGCATGAAAGCAGGCACTGGGGATGGGGGGACAATTTCTCATTCATCCCCGCTTCCCCAGCCCGGCACCGTCAGCGCTTGGCACGCAAGCAGGCTCAGACACAGGTCACTACCAGAGGGACTGAAAGCCAAGCCCAAGGTATGAATCACCAACTGAAAAATGACTCATGTCAAGGGATGACAGAAGGGCAGCATCCTGTCCGTCTTGTTTGCTACTGTGTCCTCTGTGCCCACACGGACTTCCGGGAGGAGGGGGCCGCTGAGTTGGACCTTGAAGGATAAATAAGAGTCCAGCAGCCAGAGGGGACAGAGGTCAGGCGTCCAGGTGGAGGGACCAGAGGAGGAGAGGCAGTCTGTGCGGGGCTGGGGAGCAGGGTGCACGGGAGCCACGAGGCGGGAGAGGTAACTGAAGGCCTTTAACATCCCCGTGAGGATGGTGGCGCCCCGTCTTCGCTTCTGAACGAGGAAGGGAGACATGTCCCATCTGATTGGCAGTGACCCTGGCTGCCGTCCACACAGGGCTTGGCCACACCCTGGCACTCTCAAACCATCCCGGCTCCTGTCCCGAGGGTAGGCCCTCACTCACCCAGGCTCTGGGGAGCCCCCCAGACCACCTGTCTCACCCTCGTACAGATGGGGACCCTGAGGCAGACAGTCAGTGGCAGGGCCAGTTCAGGTCCAGAACCTGAACACCACAGTGCCCTCCTTTCTGCTCAGGGGCAGCTGCGACTTCATGACTGTGCCAGCCCTCCCGGGCCTCC